GTCTTSGTTTCAAGAACTTTATATTTCCTCATCTTCAGATCAAAAAAATTATGTATTCAGTGAGCTGTGTTTCATATTTTTTTTTTCATGGACTCTGTCCTGGATTTCCTGRTTCTTGGTGTTGGATTAGATGAAACTGAATGACACAACCAAAGGTTACATTTATGGTTAAAAATTGGTTTCGGTATACAAGGTCTGCATTGTGGATTAACCTAATGACTTTCCACCCTATGTTTTATGTTATTTCTCTGTTTCATCAGAACTTATTGGCAAGACTAATATGCTTTAATACTTCCCTTGTGCCRTGGGATGAGATCTGAAATTTAATAAAGCAGTTCCCTGTCTGGCACAGACTCTGTTTTGTATTCCTTAATGCTTTCTTTCCTGGTGTAATTCAGTACTTGGGAAGTTGAGAAGAGCAGTATTTTAGACTACTATTGCTAACAATATGCAGTRTCATTCAAACTACTACACAAATAATTACATACTCTGAATTTGGTGGGTATTTTTGTTTGTGTTGTTTGGTTTAGGGTTTTTTGGTTGTTTTTGCCACAATCCAGTAAACACAATGTAGACTTAGAGTTGGAAAGTTCAATATGAAWTTTTTTTATTTATGTCTAAGCTGCTGGAAGGAGCTGTAATTTTGTCTTCATCTTTTTATCTTTCTAATTACAATATTTGTAAGTCAAATGAAAATTTGAAAGAACCTGAGAGAAACTTGAGAGTTTAGGCAAGAGAAGAAAATGATTGAGTTTGTCTCTATTTGTCTCTATCAAACCAGTTGTGCTCAGTAAACAAATATTATGGTCGTTTCATTTCAGTGTCTTCAAGCTTGTGATGTGAAACCTTGGTCTGTTCACATTTTTATAACCTTTCCTTTACCATGGTTTTTCTGTTGTGATGTGTTAATTAGCTACATAACACAGCACAGAAAATTAGTCATAATGTGCTCAAAAAGAGGTCATCACCTAGTAACAATCAGATATTAGGGAGAGCATGACAGAATTTCAGTTCTGGCTTACTTAAGGATCAGGGAAAGGAGGAAGACCATCTGTCATGCTGAAAAGTGAATGATGTGTCCTGCTAGAGAGAAGGAGTCCTGGGTTTTTAAGAGCATGTTTTGAACAGCATAATGAATGGATGTTTTGGCATTAGACTTTGAAGACCACTGTGACATTTTTTGTTGTTGTTAAATTAAAAAAAATATCCAAAGAGTAAGCAGGTTTGCTTACTCATTGTAAGTTTCCTATTTAACAATTTCAGCTTTTCTTTCCAATTATTAGCTATCTCTAAGTAGATTTTTTTTTTTCCCTTGAAGCAGAATTTCTCACAACCCACATCCCACTTCTCTGCTACTATGCATTGGAAAGTTGCATAAGAAAAACAGTTAGCAGTGATGCTGAAGGTTGTTTTCATTGCTCCATATTACATGTTCTGTAGTTAAAATTTTAAGTTTTCTTGGTTTAAGGGGCATTTTATTTAACCTATATGCTTTTCTTTAATTTACAATAATTCATTCCCTGTAGTAAGGTGGAAGTAGTTTTATAAACAGATGCAAGGTGAGCAAGGCTGTGGGTGAGTGTTGTAATAACATTTGAAAGTCCTTAACCAGTGTCTTTCCTTGACATAATTTTCCTGATGGTTTCATATAATGCTTCTGCTTATAGAGCAGGGAGTTAATTTCTTTGTTTTCTGATGGCAGATTATATAAAAGGTAGACTAAGGTGCTGAAGGCAATGAAGTTAAAATGTTTTTTTAGTCATAAAATCATTCTTGCAATATGATTTAAGGAGAGCTGTAAGTCTTATTTCAGTTACGTAATGATTCAGAACTCAGATGAGATTAGGGGAGCTGCTTGTGTTTTGGGAGGGGTATATCTTAGCAAATCTGTGCAGCAGAGACAAGGGCTAGCTAATTCTTTTATTTACACATACCATCTTTTGTCACAAAAAAACCCCAAACCAAAACCATGCATGTTAGTGAGAGTACTCTGCAGACTGGAGCTGACTTGAACCTGATGGTATCATGGATAYCATTTGAGGATACTGAATCTGATCATCATGTCTGGGTCTGGAGCTACCGGGTCTGTAGTTTCCATGGTGCTGTTTCCTAAGGAGTGTTCACTCCTCTTTGACTGAAGAAGGAGGAGGTTTAAGACAGCTCCTAATATTTCTGTATGCAGAACCACTCTTGATTGCATCTACTGGTGACACACACACACTGTGGCTGCACCATCACTCTGTGCTAGGAGAGGAGCAGATGTGCACAGCTGGAGACAAGGAAGGCTGGTAAGGCAAGAGGAGAGGCTGCACTTGTAGGTAGTACTGAGCCTTGCCTGTATCTTCAAGTCCAGACTCAGACAGTGAGTTAAAACAAGAATAAAAGAGGGAACAAAATGACATTTTTTCTCAGAAGCTCTTAGAAGCCTATGAAACAGCAAGCCAGTCTTCAACAGATGACTAAAGGTTTTGCACCTTTCCTACACTTCCTGTACTTGGAATAGTATGCTGAATCATGCCACGCAGCTGTAACTGCTGGTGAACAGAATTAAGATGCTCATATGGCTCTGATGGAAGATTGTTCTTAATGTAGTCTCTCTCCTTAGGATCTGTCATCCATCTTCAAGGATTATGTGTATATATTAAGTGCTTTGCTGGCATGAAGAATGATACTACTCAAAGTAAAAGGAAAGTTTTAAATTATTTAAAGAACATTATAAACAGATGCAATTAAATCAATGCAGTAAATGACTGCTTGTTGATAAGATGTTTTGGGTAAATGCTGCTTGATTATCACAGTTAGGCTTCACTTACTACTTCTAATAATTTAGGGGCATCATTATAAAATAATATCTAACTCTGGATAATAAAAACTGAGACAATACTTGTATATTTTTGGACCTCAGCAAAGCTCATAATATCGTTTTAACAAAATGTCCAGCACAGAGCTGGACAAACASACCATGTGATGGGTGAGTACCTGGCTCATGGGTCAGGTGCAAAGGGTTATAGTGAATGGGGTGACATCAGACTGGTGACCTGCCACTAGTGGGATTCTGAGGGCTCCATCTTCAGCCCTGTGCTCTTCAACACCTTCACTAATAACCTGGATGCAGAAGTTGAAGGAATGCTAAGTTTGCTGATGACACTGAATTGGGAGGAGCTGTTGATTCCCTCAAAGGCAGAGAGGCYCTGCAGAGACACCTTGACCTGCAGGACTAGGACTAGGCTATCAGCAATCATATGAAGTTTGACAAGGGAAAGTGCTGGATTCTGCAYCTGGGATGGGCCACCCTGGGTGTACAGACAGACTGAGGAATGAGGGGCTGGAGAGCAGCCCTGTGGAAAGGGACCTGGAGGTGCTGGTCAGTGGCAAGTTGAATATGKATCAACAGTGCCCTGGCAGCCAGGAGGGCCAAGGAGTGCACCGGGCACAGCATCATCAGCCRGGCAAGGGAKGGGATTGTCCCGCTCTGCTCTGACCTCACCTTGAATATTGGATGTAGTTTTAGGCMCTGCAATATAAGAAGAATACAAAACTRCTGGAGAGCATCCAAAGGAGGGCCATGAGGATGGTGAAGGGTCTGGAGGGGAAGCCTTATGAGGTACAGCTGAAGTCACTTGCTTTGTTCCGCTTGGAGGAGATCCCTCATTGCAATCTGCAACATCCTCAAAAGGAGAAGCAGAGGGGAAGATACTAATCTCTTCAGTCTCATGAAGTTTCAGTGTCAGGACCGGAAGAAATGGCATGAAGCTGAGTCAGGGGAGGTCTAGGTTGGATATCAGGAAGAGGTTTCTCACACATAGGGTGGGTGAGCTCTGGAACAGGTTCCATGGGGCAGTGGTCACAGCACCAGCCTGAAAGAGTTCAAGAAGAGTTTGGACAATGCTCTTATGCACATGGTGTGACTCTTGGGTTGTCGTATGCAGGGCCAGAAGTTGATCAGCTTGATGGGTCCCTTCCAGCTCAGCTTATTCTATGATTCTATGAAATGCGTTACATAGTAGTATGAGAGCTTCCTTTTAATTATTGTTCCCTAAATTTGACTCTTCTAAAATTATGAAGAGTTCTGTTATATTTATGTTTTTCCAGTTGAAAACTGAAATTCCTGCATTTTTCAGTGTAGGAGTGGGTGCTCTCCAGCTTTTTCTGCTCCTGGGCTTTAGGTCTTTAGCCAGTGCTCATGCATTTCTGAGTGACTTCAGACTTCTCCATTTCAATTGTAGTAGCAGAGTTCCTTCTGGGTTAAAAAAAAAAMCAGTTCTCAAAAGGAGCAAACAAACTTCTATTATGTATCAAAAGAATGTAAATATATCCAATCTGTAGGAAGAAAGTATGTGATGCAAAGAAGAGGAAATAAAAAGGTTCAATAAATCTGCATATTGTAGTACAATTACACTATGTTGATCCAAAATAGATTTATATAGTACCTGTATGCTAGCCAAGTAAACAGAACCTTTATTTTTTTCTTAGTCCAAGTTTCCTTGATGTCTTGGAAGTTCCACAGAATAGTACAAGAAAAAAATAGTACGCCTTTTTTATTTTTTAAATGTTTTCTTGGTAAATAAAGCAGCAAGACCTCATKACATTGTGATGGTGTTACGCTGGTGGTTGTGCTGAGTAAAGAGGCAACAGGCATGCTTGAATTTGTTCTTTTTGCTAAATGTTCAACAGCAAGTTAACTTTTAACAGAGAAAGAGCAATGGATTCCACCATTCAAAGGTAAGGTCTCTTTGAAATGGGTGTTCAGTGACCATCCTGTGACCTGATGGAACAACATTGACTGAGAGCCCTGGAGACAGAAGGATGATGTATGAGAGAAAGGTTATGACTCCAACTATAAGTGTTAGCGATGTCATCCTTTTTGTGTCAGCTTTTCAAGGTAAAAGATTTGTATCAGAAAACACTGAGAGAAGATTGTGCTTCTGCAGGCTTGTTATTTGTCGTATTAAATTTTCCATAATGAAGTTTGACAGGCTTCTCTTTATTTTTTCCAGCAGACAGTATTACTGTTGAAGATTAGTCAGATGCCTTCCGTCCATTCCCTGCCTCACATGCTATGTCATGCCAGCTTTGGAACACTTAGAACATAATTTAAATGAATGACTAATTTGGCAAGCATAATGGAAGGCACGCATACCATCCTTCAATTGCACAAACCCATTATGGAGGTTTGTTACATCAGCTTCTATCATCCAGAGGGAAAAGCCAGAGGATTTACTTACAAGGGCTCTGTAGCTCTGGACAGAACCAGTAAGCGTTTCTGTGGCTGCTATCAAGTGAGGGAGAGGTTAGACATGGAGCTGAGAGAACAACCATATGAAAACTTTGGAGGTATTATTTTCAGGCAAACTACCACGAAAGACCTTCTCACTGAGCTGTACAAACTAGCTGCTGAAAAGGAAAACCTRTTATCCAGCGTTTTGAGATCACATCATATTCTGGACTTTAGGGCAGAACATCAGGAGGAAAAGCGACAGGATGTTTCTGGAGTCCCGAAACCTAAATGTGATAATTACTCCAGTCTTACGCATCAGCAGGAGTTATTTCTGGATTCCACAAAGAGAGACAATTTGAATCACAAAAAAATGAGGAAATACAGAAGGAAAGAGAACTTTGAGGAGATCAAACACGGGAAAGAGGGGAAAAAGATACATGAACATCTTTTTGTACTGAGTACACAAGACATGCAACAGAAAAATAAGATGCTCTCCACAAAACTTTCTACCAGGAGTTATCCCCATTCCTTTTCTGCCTCCAGATGGCTAACAGTGAAAGGTAAGGATAATTTACCATTAGACAGTAGAATACAACCAGAAATGTGGACAGAAGGGGGATATTTTCTTAAGAGCAACAAAGCTGAGAAATTGGATGCTGACTTACCAAGTTCTAGCTGTAAAGACATCAGCAATGTGCTTGTAGTTGAACCAGTGGAYAATAGGGAGTGCATTCCTGAAGTTACCAGGGTGCAACAGAGAACAACTTCGGTGAAGTCATCTCAGTACAGTCCAKCTAACAAACTTGAGACATTAGGTAAATCTACAGCTGCTAAATGCTTGAAAAATAGCAACTATGCCGAGCTGGTGTTCAAGGAGAAACCAGGAGTCACAGCTGTTGCTGAAATCCAGGATTTAGATGCTTGTATTAAAAACGTTACCGATCCCCCTGCAGAGTCTTCACCTGATTTTTGCAGAGATAATGAAACCTTTTCTCCTGCTCTCACAGCAGCCCATAACGAGTTTGTATCAAGAACTGATGTATACTCAGTAGATGAAGCAGCTGCAGACTCTAATAACAGTGTGCTGCAGGAAAAGGAGGAAGACTGCTCTGGTTTGCAGTACAAAGCAGAGAGAGTACACATTACTGATGAGTCATGTAACCTTGTGGGAGCAGTTAATAAAGCTCTTCTGAAAGTTATCCGGAGCGACAGTTTAGATGAAGCTGCAGAATGGAAGAGACTGCAACAAATTACAAGAGTAGACAGAAACCTGCCAGGCTCACTACATGAGAAAAGGACCACGGYATCCCGGGGAAACAGCAAGCATTTATTTTTGAACCTGCCTGTAAATGAAAGTCCTGATACTCCTCAGACAAGTAATAATCTTAAACTGGAAGAGAAAAGGCTGCTTTCACCGCCATTAGCAGCAGTGAGTAATGTTTTTAGTAATTCATATCCGCTATCTAATACACACAAACAAATGTCACCTATTCCTTCTCCGTTATCTTCGAGACTGCCTAGCCCGCAGCTGCATCACCGCATCCTCCCGTTACCAACACAGGACACCGAGGATCAATCTATGTTCAGTGACTACGGCCACGGAAGACATGGTGCTGTAAACTTCTCTTTCAGTGACTTGGAGCCGCAGTTTTATCGGAAGTTTTCTGAACCTGGAGAATTGGGATTTGCCACCAGACAGCGGAGCCTACAGCAGAATACAACTGCAGGACATTTTGAAAAGTGTGCTGTGCAAGGAAAGTTAACTACTCAGACACAGCAGAACTTCTGTCCAGGTCAGTCCTGTTTCATAAATTTTTTAACCAATAGAATCAACCAATGAAAGTCTTGGGGTATTTTCTGGGTTTGTTTGGTTTGCTTTTTTTAGTTCTAGCTGTTAATAAATATTATGTTACATAAACTGTTTTTCACTACTTAAGGGTTGAATTTTTTGAACAAAAGTTACAGCTATATAAGATTTTGAGTCGCATTTTTATGTCCGCTTATTTTCAGTCCTGTTGTAACTGAATGACCTTAGCCAAAGTTAATGAAAAATATTTCTATATAAAATGAAATAAGTTTGCATACTTATTTTCCTGCTTTTGTTGTGCTGTGTTCCAGTCTTTAAAAATGTTATGGTAACATCTGTTCTCCAAAATGTTCTTTTTAGCTTGTTTGGCTTAACTGATAGAATATTTTCCAAATAAGCTAATTTATAGTGCCTTAAGTGTAGTACGGGTGCTACAAGAGGTTGATGTAATTTCTGTAACAAGAGGCTTGTTTTTAAATGATTGCAGGCAGGAGTCATATTACAATGTACATGAGTACAGTACATGGGTTTATTTATAAAAATATACTGTATAAAAATGTATGATTATATGGCATACTGACTAGCTATCTTTGTTAGTTTGAAAATCAGCATCTATACCCTTCATATTTTCCTTAAGAAGCAAGAAAGCTGGAGGACCTAGTTCTGCAGTGGTCTAGGAGTTGCTCAGACTACTCCCTCTGTGATTAATGGGGGTCTGGCAGGGCAAAGTGATACAGAAGGGGGATTCCAGAAGGGGAGGTGTGTAGGGATGTGAAACCATTGCCTTAGCCAGAGCGTGTTGAATRTTGCCTGTGATGCTTGCATTTATGCCTTCTACTTCTAGAAGGTGTTTTGGTTTTACTCAAGAATAAATGAAAATTAGGTTATTTRAAGAGTCGACAACTGATAGCTGAAAAGATGAGTGCTTTGCTCTTGTTGTTTCATTCTTACCATAATCCAGTTTAGTCATCAAAGACTTMAAAAAATGAAGAAGAGAATGAAATTCCCGCAATTGGTTTCTTTTGTGCTGTGCTGTCTTACCCCTCTCATTACTTCTTGTACTCATCGTACCTTTTGGTGAGCTGGTTTAGCTGACAAGACCAGCAATTTCACCCCTTTATTGAGACTAAAGTAGCACAGCAAATCTTTTTCTGTCTGTTTTACATTAGTATTTTTTAATTAATGAATTTTTTAGAATTGTTGAATGTGAAACTGTACCTGTTGTGCTGTACTCTTGYACTGTCTTTGCCTGGGACAGAGTTAATTTTCTTTACAGTGGCTTGTATGGGGCAGTGTTTTGGATTTGTGATGAAAACAGTCTCGGTAACACAGGGATGTTCTAGCTTGTGCTGAGCAGTGTTTGCACAGCATCAATCCCTCCTCTGTTTCTCACTCTACATCCTCCCAGTGAATAGAGCAGGGGCTGCACAATAGGCTGGGAGCAGACACAACCAGACAGATGACCCAGACTAACTAAAGAGAAATTCCCTGCCATATAACGTCATGCTCAGGAATAAAAAGTAAAAAGAGGGGGCTTTGGAGGGTTTAGCCATCTTTTGCTTGGGATCTGGCAGGGCATCRGTCTACCCATGGGAGGCGGTAAGTGATTGCTGTAGCATCACTTGTTTCATTTTTTTCTTCCCTCCTTTTCCACTTACCTTTCACTTACTAAACTAATTTTTTGTTGGTTATCTTGACCCCCAGTTGTTGGTGTTTTTCCGTTCCTCTTCCYCCCATGTCACTTGGGGGAAGGGGGGGAGGGAGSGAATGAGCCRCTGCGTGGTGCTTGTCTGCCCCACTGGGGTTAACCCACAATGTTTTTACAAGAAACAAAACAACACACATACATACTAATGGCATCTCTTGGCTGAAAATCCTGKCTGTTAAGCAGAAACATCTTTCTGAAGAGAAGGAAAATAGAAAAGCCCAATTTTAGTTCTTATTTCCAGTTACCAGGCAACATTAATACAGACAGAAAATATCAGAAATTTTTTGGTGGTTTTTTTTTTCATTTTCAAGTATGATTGCATGTCAGCGTTATTACTGGTGTGTCAGAAAATCTGTGACTTTAAGGAAAAATTCTGTATTTTGCTGGCATATATGATACTATAGGTATGCCTCTGGTTCTGGGATAATATGACTTTCCATTTCCATCTGAATCAGGGGTTGAATCATTCGTATTGACAGAGCATTTGGAATAACATGCTTCTGTAAACAGATACAATAGCTAACTGACTATAGTTCAGTGAGAAAAATTCTGTATCTCCAATTTCGGTTAATGTAAGTAATATTAAGATCTAGTTATAAAATTACGYTCCTGGTTTGAGTCTTATTAGATTCCTCCCATGTATGAAGAGCAAAATTCAAGAGTATTGTTCAGATTTGTTTTCAATGGGGTGTTATTGTGAAATGTTTTCTTTCAGTTCCAGTCTGTTATTAAATTGTGTAAATATCTGCAATGGCTCTAAGAATTATGGAGCATTTTGGTCAACTTTTCATCAGTAATGTTGATTGAAGGATTTGCTTCATGGCAAAAATGATGGTCTTTTGAATGGCTTTTCAAAATTCTATTGCTGTCACAGTATGCACTACTTCTTCCTGAAATATTTTTGGAGCCTTTTGTTACCTAGGTAAATTTATATTTGGAAAATTTAATGAATTAGCTAAATATTCTGATTTATTTGTTTGAATTACAAATTGGACTCATCATACAGCTCTACACATAATTTTAATTCTGTTTTCTTACTGTTTGTAATCATTATTCTTCACACTCTTCCTSAATAATTGGAGAATGTTCCTGTAATCAAAATTGAAACAGCTAAGGCAGAGTGCCCTTATTTCTGTACTTCATTTTTTCTCAATTTCAGTTTCTTTATAGATATATAGATACATATTTATGGCAGGTGTCTCACGGTTTCATTGCACAAAGTTCTTTCAGTAGTTAGTTTGAAAGTACAGTTTTCTGGATCTTCTTGTTGAAGTACAACTATCGGCCATAGGAATAGGCCACGGTTTTCATCTTAGTAAGTTAATAGTTAACTGGGAATAATTTGTGGTTCAACAATAATTATTTAGCAATTTTCTCTGGAGGTGGGACTGGGAATTAAAAATTCCTGTATTTGAATGTAAAGTTCWGTTCGAATTATCAAAATTCTAAGAAAAACTTTAGAATAAATTAAGGCTTTCAAATAATAWGCTGCTCAGTTACAAGCAGCAAAAGCAGTAGTACAAGCACTAAAATTTTTCATAGAATGGTATTTATTAAATCCTCAGAAGCATACTTCCTGCATTTCTGTACAAAATTCTTTCTACTCTAACATGAAGYACATCATGCTTTTGTAGTCCTGGAGAAGCCAAGCTTGCTTTTGAAAAGATCTTAAATGGATCTGAGTATCTGTATCAGGGAAGGATTTTCTGGGACCTTTTAGTTCTTATCTCTGCTTCTCTCTTAGGTTGTTCACAGCAGTAGAAAAAACTAGGGAGAAAAWTTTCAGAGCTATTGTATTAAATTAGTACTGAAGGACACAAATATCCTATTTTACTAAGTATTATGTGTAAGAGGAAGAAGRTTAGTTAATTTGCTTCAGAGCAGGAAACTTAAAACTGGTTATGGTATAGCCTCTGGGACAGTGACAGGTGACTGTGCTTTGGGTCAGGATGACACTGGGAAGAGTCATTCACCACACTTTCTGTTGTACGTTTTACTCCTAATGTGGAAAAAAAGAACGGAAATCTGCCAAGGGGGAATGGTGAAAGCAGCAAAGGGAACAGATGAGAAGGATGATTTTACTCTATCCCCAGCCAATGAATAATGCTCCTTTTCTGGTATCTAGTTAAGTTGTGAAGGAAGAAGATAACCAGAAAACACAGAAATTCAAAGTTAGTAGGACTGTAGAGAAACTAAGATAAACTTGGAATGAAATGACTGATTGAGGTTTGTGTCAGGTAAAATGACAGAGACTTATGGGACTGAAAAGGACAGACACATTCTCTTCTTTCTCTCTTCCTTTTTCCCACAGAGACCTCCTCTATTCACTTTCCCTCCCCTTTTCTGGAACAACTTTGGTGGTTTCCTTGCTTTTTGGTAGAGTCAAATCACTAAGCAAGTTGAAAACTGAGCCAGCAAGGATAGAGATCAGTAGCTTTGGCTGGTTTAGGGAGCTGAACAGTTCATAGTGGTCTGACAAAAACCCCAGCTAGGGTGAGGGAGGGCATGCAAGTGTGGCAGAAAGGACAAGTGAGCAAGATCATCCCTGCTGCAGGGRATCATTTGATCCCCAAAAATCTCAGTTGCTTCCATATTTTGAGTGGGTGCTATTAATCCTGAAGCAGAAAGAAGAAAATATGGAGGAAAATTGAGAAAGAGAAACTCCGAGACTGAATAGGGAGTGTTACTTTGGCTAGGATAGAGAACATTTATGGAGTATAACAAAGCAAGTGATTAGACATGAAGCAATGTTTATTTTTGTTTTGGTGGGAAATCTTCAAAATTAACTGAAACCATTAAGATGTATATTATGAATATTATTCTGTCCAACTTGCTGATGATTCATGAAGTCAGTGTGCACTGTCATGTAATTTTGGAGTTGAAGATAAGGGAGGAAGAAAAAKTGAGGTAGAGTTTTGGTTTTAAAGTCTTCAAAATTATAATGCTTATTGTGTTGTTGGGAAGGCATCTTAACTGCTTGAAAAGATTGATGAATATAAGTTTTTAAGATTAATTCTCAAATAATTTTCTTTAATTGACTAGTTCAAGATGTGTATCCAAGAGCTCTTTGGAGTGTATTCTGGATGTAGCTGTAGATGCAGGTATCCCTGTACCTGCTGATTATTCCATGGAGAATGTTGTGTTTGGTTGTTTGTGCCAATGAGAATTTCATGGCAGCAGTTTACTTTCCAGTAGAAAGCATTGAAAACAAACATTCTGGTAGTTTTGTGTGGTTTTCTGTAGTTACACACTGCCATTTGGAAACATGCCCATTTCTA